ACCCCTTTGGGGGTCGAACAACCCTTTCACCGGGGTCTCTGGATTCATAACAGTAGCAAAATGACAGTGATGAAGTAGCAACGAAAATAATTTTATGGTCGGCGGTCACCACCAGATGAGGAACTATATGAAAGGGTCGCGGCATTAGGAAGTTTGAGCTGTGTGGTTTAATGTGTTTCTGAAATAAAAAATGTTATTGGTGCTCATTTTAGAAAATGGGCATACAAAACACAATCAACCATAATTTCACTGTCTTTCCCCCACAAAACAAAGGAAAACATTTGTTTCCTTAAAAACAAAAAAGATTGGATAGTATATTGTAGTGCATGTGTGTATCTGACTTGAATGTCTATACAACTATCACTTAGAAGGCTTTTACTACATGAAAGCCGTGTTCTATATGCTCCCCATTCAATAACTCCAAGAAGCTTATGAGGGCGACATTATTATCCCTTTAAGAAAATCTCCTCAAGGTCACACAACTAGGAAGGGGTGGATTCAAACCCAGTGGGCTGTCTACCCCTAGAGTTCATGCTCACTCATCAACTTTGACCCAGCGTTGAACTTAGTCAACCCTCTATTCTTTGACTTTCATCTAGCATGACACTGTTACATTTGAACTGTCCCTGAACAAACTTGAAGCTAAAGATTTACACAGGAGAATTATGGTCATAATAAAAGTTCCAAGAATTGTGCTTCCAATTATGTCAAAATGTAAGACTTTTGATAGAACTCATACAATTCTGAAACAGCTGCTGTACTTTGGTAGGTAGGCCCTCGGACGCCCAAGAAAAACATCAGGTTTGCAACACACTAGGCAGCTTACACAACTGAATCCTTTAGGATTAAAGCTTGAAGGTCAGATATATCCTGTGAGTGGGTGGCAGGCCAAGATTGAAATAGCACTTTTTTTTTTTTTTAATCCATAATGTCTCTCTTGACTACAGTGCCCCATACAACAAGAAGTTTGTATCAGTTTGTTATTTCTGAAACACTCTAAAATTACAACTACCATCTATAACCCAGTCAAAACCACATAGTTCTCACTATATAGATCCCTATCTATAGCTATTATCTATCTAGTTATTCTCTCTTATACCTATCTGGTTTTTTAAAAAAATTGTAGCCATAATTAATTATTTTCCCCTAAATATCATTATATTTGCGATAATTTGGTGACTCATTCCATAAAATAGTAGTGCAGGGAAGATGTCTTTGAAAATCTCAGTTTATGTGGCAGCATTAAGCTCTTTTGTAATATGGTCATCTTGGACTCATTTAATCTTTAAGTATATCAAAGGCAAGTAACCAGGTTGAAAAATGTTTTATTGTATCCAACATATGAAAGCACTGCTTTCCACAGCCCATTTTTGCTTATTTTAACCAGGTAAGACCCTTCACAAGCAAAGTAACTCATTTTAATAGAAAAAGTCTGTTAAAAACATTGCAAAGCAAACCCGACTGCATTTTAGATAGAAAGTTAGCTGTTTTCTTTATAAAAATAAAGGGAGAAAAAAAAACAATATGTACATAAAAATCCAAGATCATTCACGGCGAGAAAAATGTCATCTTTGGAAAGATATTTACTTGCATGCTACAACGGCATAATTTTCACCTTACACCTGTAAGGACAGAACACACTTTATCTGAACAGATTGCATTAAAAATAAAAAGCCTTTTAAAAGGAAAGTATGTTCACAACAGCCCATATCTAAAACCTCGTCTATTCAAGGGACCAATTAGAAAAAGGGAACATGTAAAATCCAGTGAGAATTTGAGAGACGCGTCCATTGAAGACCTTGGAGAGTGCCCAGAAGGTTACAGAAGGAATAAAGGATTCCTCGTGAGTGTCTTCTTCTTGGTTCGGCACAACCAGTTCGGGCCCGTCCTGTAAATGCCTTCTGACTGATGCTCTCAGCTCTCCTCCTCCAGATTCCACCTTCCACATAAGGTGCGGCATGAAGGGTTCACGAATCACCCACAACAATTAAAAGGCCTAAGCAAAGAAGGGTAGGGCCTAGAAAAACTATGAAGGGGCCAGTGCTGCCTTTCTACCTACTTCTCCATCTCCTGGCTAGCATCTCTCCTCAGCTCCTGAAGGCCAGGTTTTCATGCCTCTCTCTGACCACCACCCCCAACCCCCTTGGGTTTAGGCCTCTCCAGAGGGCCCTTGATGCCAAAATTGCCTCTCCAAATTTTATTTCGTGTAATCAGAATTTATCATTTCTCTGTGATTTTTTAAATCCTCTTAAGGTTGCAGTTGGATTTTATTATTGTTGTTCTTGAGTTCACACGGAAAAGTGACTGGCAACTTGGACCTGGAGCGCTGCTGGAGGGTCATGGACAAGGTTGGGAGAAAAGTCAAAAGGTGTTTCATGGGAGTGCTGACTCTCTCAGAATGATAACAATGGCACTTTTTAAACGGGTATGAGTCATAAAATAAAACACCTGTAGGCCCTAGGCTCTGACTAGAACCCAGTGCAAATTGTGCTGTGTTTGTGGGCTGGGGACGTAGGATAGCCAATCCTAACTGACTCCCTTCAGCAAGATTTACCATCCAAAATCTGAATGAAAGGATATGATTACTTGACTCTAAATAAAAAGCAAGGTTGGTAAATAGGAAAGCAAAATAAAATGGTACTGTAGGGTTTGTTTTCACCAGAGAACGGTCCAAAGTTTTGAGCATACACTCCCCCCAAAAATACCTCATCTTGGGCATCTTGCCACCAGAAAACAGGGAGCAGTCCTCGCAACAAGCCCCACCTTGCTTTAGGCAGACCGCAAAGCAAACGTACTGCCCCACCTGGCTTCCTCTTCCTGTTTCACTGAAACCAAGAAAGTTTCACTTAAAAATAACAATAACAACAACAAAACTCCCCTGCTATGGAGTGGCTTCTAACTCACAGCTCACCACCCTACAGGATGGACTGGCAGCACTGACCCCACAGAGCTTGCAGGCTGTAATCTTTATGGGAGCAAAGGACCACATCTTTCTCCCAAGAGTGGCGGTGGGAATGGCTAGGCTTTCACTTGGCAGCTTTTCTTTCCTCTTGGGGGTGGTGGTGCTTAAACGTTTATTCTCTCTGAGCGGATAGAGTTCAAACTTCAGAATCCCAGCTCAGGTGAAAGACTGTCAGAGCAACTGAAACCTTAACCCCTGCTCCAGCTGAGCTCCCGAAGCTTCTCTTAGCTGTACACAACCTCAAAAAAACCGTACTGATGTGCATCAACTCTTTCCTGGTAAGCGGCTCTCCTGTAGCAAAGAGGAATCACAGGCCTGCTTGGTTGCCCGCTCGGTTTAAAACCCAGATCCTATTGTAAGACAAACCAAATCCTTGCCTCATTTTGAACTGCCTTTTATTTCTCTCTTGTTTCCATTTTAGTTCAAATACTACTTTCATTGATATTTTATGGTAGTTAAGCTGTTCCTATAGAAAAACGATTATTTTGTAGGCTTTCAAAAACAAGAGAAAGGGAGAGTTGGTCCCAATTCTTCAGAGCAGGAAATGTATTACTTTAGTTTAACCTTCATTGCTTCTCTCCTCAAATTTCCTTCAAAGGTGACATTTATGGTTTATTTTTGAACTGTCCTTAGGATCAGTATACAATAATGTCACATATAAACAATTCATGAAAAATCACATTCATTATTTTAACATTAAATATCCCTGCTGGGGAGGACCCCCCAAAGGGCTTTCAGAATGAACACATCTGAAAAGCACTACATTTAAGTAACATTTACGGATTTATGAAATTGTACCGAGGCATTCATTTTCTCTGGATTCTTTTGAGTCTTTATAAAATTTCATAGTGTTTTCCTACTTTTACAGGGCTAATCCATTTTATTTAAAAATGATAGCAAAGGGAAATGCCTGTGCATCCCTCATTGCCACCCAGGACTCTGGTTGGGTTGTGAGTGTATTCACAATTCTCTGCAGACTCTGTGTTCATCATCACAGGCCGTCCACAGATAGTCTGTTCTAACTGACTATGGCGAGTTCTGAGAGAAGAGAAAGAGACAAATGCGCTGAACTTGCAGATGAAAACATGAAATTTTAACACTCAAGAGGAGGACAGCATTTTTTTCCACAAAATGTATCTTCATAAACGGCAAGTTATCAAGAGTAGTTCTGAATCTCATGTCAAAAAAAGGTGAAAACTTGCTATTCCAAGGTCAATAGAAGAACCTCGATATCCTTTTGTCATTAAGGTACTGGTGGTACCGTTGTGCATCATGAATATAGGTCTGTTTCTTAAGATTGGGAAATGGACTTATCTTCCTGATGGTAATCCTTTTGTAAACCACAATGCACATTCAAAAGCAGAATAGCACAACTTTCTACCGGCAGTTTCCTGATGTCGTTTGAATTTGTGGCTCTGTATTTTTAAGTTTACTAGAGAAACTTACTAAGGTGGCTCTTCCATGTTGCCATGCAAAAGGAAAACAAATTCTAGGAACTTTAATCAAGAGCTACAGACTAGATACTACTGATTTTCAGAGCATTAAAAAAAAATCCAGCATGATTTACCACAGTATTGAAATACTCCTATTCTACTTACACCTAAATCTGAAACAATACCAAAAATTTTAGCCCTTATACAGATATCAGCTGTATTAAATTTAATCAAAGTATAGCTTAATTATTGTTGGACTTAATATGAACCCAGAATTTTCTTTGTAGAAAAATATCTGTTAAAAAGAGCAGATCCTTCATAGACCTCAATTCCAACGTTACAAATGATGGGATTTGCTCATTGTCTATGTACTCAGCAGTAAAGAAGTCAAAATATACTTTAATATTTTGAATATCTGGAAAAAGATAAGCAACAAATTGCTTTAAACATACGAATTGGTAAACAGCATCATTCAACATTTTTAAAATGCATTATACGCTATGTATAATGAATGTGCGTGGGTACAAAATGAATTTTAAAACACCTCCTTTTGAAAAGCCTCTAAAATTTCTAAGGAATACATGTGTAATCGCAGCATGGTGACATTATCTTTTCACGCACGCTTCTGCTAAGGCAGTAAATTTGGGTTCCAAATTATTTAAAAAGTCAAGTCCCTCCTCCTCCTGCTTTTCACTGCAGCAACCGACCGATCCCGCTGGAGATCCCCTCCCTTCGTAGTTGTAAGGAAGCACATAATCTGCAGCCCGGATGTTGTCTTCATTCTGATTATACAGATGTAATTTCTGTGAAATGAATAATGGATTGTATTATTGTTTTAACTACACGTAAATGTAGGAACATAAAATTTATTTTTATTTACCTTTTAGGTTTAATTTTTAATCAGTGTATCCTCTAAAGGATTCCTACATACAAAAAATGCACATAACTGGTCTATATCACAACCATACCATAAAGTCAATGTATTTTATGCTTTTAGTAATACATACAAGTAAAAATTACATACATAAAGTTTATTTTTCAGTGTCTTTTAGTGGTCACTAAATACTTATGCCTAAATTCTATATCTAGGGACTATGTTAGTCAGGAAAACGGATACACTGTATCTATCTGCTGAATATGAATTAGGGGTTGGTTGTCAGTCAGGGTGTTGGGTCATAGCTTTGGCTCTACCAATTATACATCTTTGGGCAAGTTATTAAGTGTTTTTCAGCTTTGCTTTCCTCACCTCTAAAATGGAAATACAAAGAGTAGCCATTGTACAGGATTACTCTGGAAATTAAATGTTGTAATAACAATGCACGAAAATGCTCCTCTTATGCCTTCACTCACCGCCATCAAGTCAGTTCTAACTCACAGCTACTCCACAGGGCCAATAGGAGGCTCCTTAAGCCAAGCACACAGTAAATGCACAACGAATGGTCATCAAGATTATTATCAGGTTTTGTTTTTTCTACTGGTAGTAGAATACAGTATAAAGGGGTGGATTTACTAAATTGGTTTTAGAATCAAGTTTCTAAGATAATCAAAATATAAGAAAGTATAGCGAGACACACACACGCACACACAGAAATCAGTGACATTAAACAAACAAACAAACAAACCCTGAGCTGCATTGTAAAATTTGGGATTTATACTGGAGAAGCCAAACATTCAGCTCCATGTCCCCTCGTTGGCTGTCTACCCCGGGCCTCATTATAACTTGGCCAATCTGTGTGCCTCCTCGCTTGTCTCACACCTCACACCCGTGCTCACTCCTTATTGGCTTGGCTTACATTATCAGATCTATTTCTCCAGGATTGCTTATACCTCATATCGCAATACTTGATGTGAATTAAGAGCACTCATGCGAATGTTTCTTTAGCTTCTCTCCTTCACAACCTGATGAAAATTGACTGTCTAGAACCAAGAAAAGATGACCATGTAAATTTGACAAAAATGTAAGTTAGGGACATTGGATATGCTACAGCGGTATCAGAGAATATTGCCCATCTATAGTCCTATCAACTCCTGAGTAGCGGCAACAGCCAACAGACTCACCGCTAACAGAAAGATTGAAAGTTCAAATCCAGCCAGAGAGAAGTTGAAAGAAAGCCTGATGATCTCTATCTAAACATTCAGCCATTGAAAACCCCACCTGAGGGACACTGTTCTACACGGACACACATGGGAGCACCATTGGAGAGTTGGTGGTGAGCCAGTGTTTCATGAGGAGACTCGGAACTTCCCGTCCAGTGTTTGTGCTGCAAGGGTATTGGTATCCTCTGATAAAAGAGGTGGAAAGTTTAGGCCCACAAGGTATTTCATCCAGCTGTTGTCTATCTTAACGGCACACTGCTATTACTTGACAAGTTTTTTAATTGGCTAATGGAGTCAGAATGTATCCAGGATGTGGCACAGGCATTGTTTTTCTTTAAAAGCTTCCCAGTGAATTTTAATATGTTCCCAGGATGGACAATTCATCCCGGAATTCCTCCTTCGTTCACATTCTCGCTTTCCTGTGACTCAAAACCCTTTATATTTGCATGGTGCTTTAGACATTAAGATCACTCATCTGGATCATATTACTTCATCTGCACCCTACAATTGTTTATCAATGCTTGTGTTTTCCCATAGGAGCAGATTTGGTCTGGGAAATGTTTGGATTGTGGGAAATGAAAAAGTCTTCCTCTTCTATCTGCAGTTTAAGAGGTAAGCACACACCTGAAAAAAATAGGTGGCTTTAATGAGGGATCTTAGAAACATCTGATTTTGTGGGGTTTTAGAAATTAAGTGAAATAGCACAGATGGCATAAAATCTTGTTTAAATGAAAGCAGGTGACAAAGTAAGCTGTAGGGGGGGCGGTGTGTGTGTGTGTGTGTGTGTGTGTGTGTGTGTGTGTGTGATCAGACACATGGACAGAAAGGTAAAGACCCAGCACGAGGAGACAGCAAGAGAGCGCTTCAAAGACGAGAGAGCGAGGTGGTGTCCGAAAACCTCCGGACGTTTCCGTTTCCTACGGTTGTCATTTCAACATCGATGTTTTGGACCCAGAACACTTAGGGACACTCACTTCACCGAGCCGGGGCTGTGTGAAATTATGCCACTCCGAGTAAACGTATCTGCAGTTGTCCATCTCCAAGTGCCCGCCCCTGCACAAGTCCAGCGTGTGGTGGTGTCCTCCCCCGCGGCAGGCGTCCAGGGTCTGGTGTCCTCCTTTGATCATTTCCATGGTTTCCTGCCCGCCCGTTTTGACTCCTGATCCCACGGTGCCACAGAAGCCCTGGCTGGAGTTGTTCACACTCTGGGTCACAAATCCATTGGCAGAACACTGGAAGAATTCAAGACCGCGTGGGTTGGGAGAACACAGATTTCAGGGAAAGTCACAAGAAGGCAAGAGAGAGAGAGTATTTCCTTTTTTGTGCTCATTGGCTCATTCAACAGGCCTTTATCACAGTTACCAGTTAAGTGCCTAGTCTGGGGTGAAAATACGTTAGCTTGTGGCCCCTCTCTGGTGGCTTCAAGAAGCTCCTGTTATAATATGGAAGAAAAAGAAATGATCATTTTTAAAAAGTATAATTTTCGGATATGTCTATCAACCCCCTGACATCGAGTTGATTCGGACTCATGGTGACTCCATAGGACAGAATAGAATTGCCCTGGTGGGTTTCTGAGACTAGAATCTTGATGAAAGTACAAAGCCTCATCTTTCTCCTGCAAGCAGCCATGGTTTCGAACTGTTGAACCTGTGATTTGCAGTCCAATGTGTAACCCACGAGACCACCAGGGGTCCTTCTCTGATATACCAGTATGCCTAAATATGTTAGAGATGCTCAGAAGAAGAGAGCATTACAATTAAAATCCAGAGAGATTGAGTGGAGTGGGCGAGGGCATCTCTGAATTGAGGGATGAAAGACCCCAAGCCAGAGGAGAAATGACACTGCCATGTAAGGGTCTGGAGACCACACCAATGAGACGCATACAGTTGACAAAATCCAAATGCTTTTTGAGGGCTGCTAGGGCATAGTATTCCAAAAGAGAGACAGACGAACAGAGAACGCGTACAAAGCTGGACAGCCTATAGAAGGCCAGGAGATGTAAAGAGGGCATGCTGCAAAACCTTAGACTTCAGCTTAGAGATCATGCAGGCGCCATGAAGGATTTTAACAGAGGCAAATACATTTACAAAATAGGATTCTTAGCAATGAGGTGGAAGACAGATAAGGTGGAAGACAAGTTTAGAGTCATGGGGGTCAGAAGGATGGTGATTAAATTATTCTAGGTGAGCAACAACAAAGACCTCGACGAAGGTGGAAACAGGTGAATGAAAGGAGAATGGGTAGGAAGGAGGGAACCGATTACATGGAACTGTGTGTGACCTCCTCCCTGGGGGACAGACAACTGAAAAGTGGATGAAGGGAGACGTCGGACAGGGCAAGATATGACAAAATACCCATTTATAAACTATCAAGGGCTCATGCGGGAGGGGGGAGCGGGGAGGGAGGGGAAAAATGAGGACCTAATGTCGGGGGTTTCAATGGAGAGAAAATGTTTTGAGAAACGATGTACAAATGCGCTTACACAATTGATGTGTGTATGGATTGGGATAACAGTTGTATGAGCCCCTAATAAAATGTTAAAAAAGAAAAAAAAGAAAAAGAAAAAAAAAAGCAAACTAAAAAAAAAAAAGTAAAGGTTTGGAAACTGGAAGGGGCAGTTCTACTCTGTTCTGTAGAATGACTGTGAGTCAGATAATGTGGGATTTGGCTTGGTTCAGAGATCATACTGTTCACTGTAGAAGAATGGATAGTGTGCCCTAGGTACAGTACTTGTGAGTTCTGTAACAGAATGGCTTCAGTGCGAGTTATGGAATAAAACCTAACTTGTGAAAAAAAAAAAAAAAGAAAGGAGTAGCCGGATAGCATGCCATAGTTACTAGTGTCTGGGTGGATGAGGCAGCAGGGGTAGGAATCAGGAATCATTCCTATGTAGTCTGCTTGGGCGATTCAGGTAGGTGATGCCCACTGCCATCTAGTTGAATAAATAAATCACAGTGAGCCTATGTAGGACAAAGTGAATATAATCCTTAGGGTTTCAAGACTCTAAGTCTTTGTAGAAGCAAACACTCTCATTTGTCAGTTAATGGTTAGTGAGTTTGAACCACCGGTCTTGAGGCTAACAGCCCAGGTAGATGATATTCATTCACTGAGAACTGCCCCTTTGGCTTTCTAGACGTTAGCTCTTTCGGGGAGCAGTGTCATTTTTCTCCCTTGGAACAATTGGTGATTTCAAACCACTGACCTGGTGCTTAGCAGCTTAATGTGTAGCCCATTACACACCCACAGATGCTGCGCTTCCTTAGACAAGGGAAGGGAAGAAGGACTTGTTTGAGGATGAACAATTCAGTTTTGGAAACAGCGAACTTGAAAAAGGGTTGGAGTATCTAAGGTGTAGAGTGAATGAATGTGTGACTAAATGTGTAAATATGAGAATCTAATGAGGGACCTGAACTGGAGATAGAATGCTGTAATCACAAGGGCACAGGTGTAGTGGCAGCGCAGGTCACCCAGGAAAATGTGTAGCCCAAGTCATACCAAAAGCTGAAAATAAAGCTACAAGAAATATCATGTAGATAATAGAAAGAGAATTATGAAAGATCATGCAGTTAATAGAGGAGAACAGACACAGAGATCCCAGAACAAAAGAAACAGCTCAGAAATCATGCAAAGAGAGCCAACAACCACAAAACCAACAGCCTTCGAATCATTCTGCCGCTGAGATCAGATACACGCTTACAGATACACGAGTAAAACGGTGACCACTGATTGTTTCTGAGGGGTTCCAAGGAGGGCTGAGTGACAGGGAATTAAGTCAAAAAAATCAAGGACAGGTTTTCTTTCAAGTTGACCCAGGGAAGAAAAATTGAGAGAAAAAGAGGAGGGCTAAGACCCAAAGGAATTTTTTAATGGATATATTTAGTTACATATTGACTTAGTGCTGGGACTTCACCCTAACCATATCAGATGCCTAGTTATATTGGTAACTTCATTATCTCAATTCTAATCATAAAACTCAACTTTCATTACAAGAACCTCCATTAAAATCAAATTTAATGTATCATCTTTTAAACACATATATTTTGCTATTAATGTGCAGTGGCTCTAGTCTGGAAGATATCCTGAGTCCAAATGGCTTCTTCATCCTGAAATATCACTACAAAAAATCATGCATATAATCTTATTGCCATAGAAAAGATATAAAAAAAGAAAACTGAGAAGTAGCCATTTGGTGGCAGTGCTACCCTACATGGCTTTGTTTAGGTTGCTGCTACAGTAAATTCTATGGAAATGTATCTATATATAATATGGGTGGTATATGATCTATAAGTGCATAATCATATATTTGTATACATTTATTTATATATTATATATAACATTAAATTGTGTTTAAATATATAATATAGATATATAATACATATACAGTATAGAATTTTACTATTTATATATATTCCCAACTTTCATTATTTATGAATACAGTATCAAAAGATCCTAATCCATCATCCTCCACACCCTGAATGCCTTCCTATTCTGATTGATCACTCTATCAACTCGGTTACACACTGCTCAAACACCCCTCCCAGAAGAAAAGCCTTCACTTGCCCTCCTTTTTCAAGTGGATAAATCCAAAATCCTTAGTAACATAAGAAGGCAATGTGCACCTCCCGCCCGTCTTCTAGGCCCTGTGCCCTCTATGTCAATCTTTTGTGTCAAGCCCCGAATGTGGTTTCTTCCATCCCGAGTCAATGTACCTGCCCTGAGCATTGGCATCTCCTTTCCGTGTTTAGGCTGTTTTCCTCTCCCTTATTCATTCCCACCGTTTCTTCTCTTTTAAAGCCTTCTTATTCTAGACTAAGCTCTACCTCTTTCAGTAGGTCTGACTGCTTGCGCCAGGCAGCATGAGTGTCTTTGCAATCTGACAGCACACTATCATATTGGGGCTAAAGGTTTACTATTATTTTCCTATTAATCTTTTCCATAAATGACGAGAGATTCTATCCCCATGAAAGGGTCCATTTCCCAGACATAAACTGAAATCTCTCTGAGGGAAAAAACATGCCTTGTATTTATGTTTGTATGTATTTCCTTCAAACAGTATAGTGCCACGCCCCTAGAGAGCTGGTCAGGCGCTCTATCAGGAGAAAGAGTGGCAACAATCTGATGTATTCCAACTCCTTCTGTTCTACCACGGATCGCATGGAACTTTCAGCAAGGTTGTTCTTTCTGTCACAAATGGTAAGAATTACATAAGCCAAAGAGATCTAGAAAGAGTCATTGCAATCTATTGTTAATCTTGACTGATTAAGAACTTGATAACTTTCAAAGATGAGTATGAATTCATAACAATAAAGTGGAAAATACAACTAAAAGAATAAGCACAGTATAAGAAATTTAACAAAAGCCACCATATAAATATTTGCATGTTGGCAGACAGGAGTGCTTTTGCCTACAAAATCTGGCCCAATTGAAAACATGAATTCGCCCCTAGAGTGCCAAGCAACTTTTTGAAAAGGAAGAATTAAAGAAATTAGGAGACTTCTAACTCATAGCCATTTAATATAATCAATAAGCATTTTAAAATACATTACTTACCACCCTATCATCCCCAGGGGCTTCCGTGTTTGATATAATTAAGTTCTGCTGCGCTAAGTCTTCAGGAAAACGTTTTTCTTTTCTGGTACCAACAACTCCACATACCAAAGTTAGCAATACGCCTAGATTTGATTAAAAAATAAAAGTTTACTGCACGTAGAATAAAATAACCATCTTCTATTTCTTATTCCTTAAAGTTTGTAGAAGAAAAATAATACATGTCTTCCCATGAATTACCTTGGCCTTTCGAAAGGAAAAGATCACAATTTAGCCTACATGTTCAAATTTGGAATAGGTTTAGACTATATCTCTAGGAATTTTGCCCATTATCCTAAAGTATTTAGAATTGTGAATTAAATGGTATGTGAAAACATAAGACAAAAAACAATAAAATATTTTTAATAAAAACAGACATTAAGAAAAAGACTTTTGCACAATTTCCTGTGGTGTGCAAGACCCTACATCAGAGATCAGCAAACTGCAGACCAACCCATCACTTGCTTCTGTATGTCCTATGAATTGAATTTTTTTTTTGCATTTGTATGTGGCTAAAATGAAACAAAAAAATATTGGGTGGCATATTCTTCTGAAAAGTATACAAGATTCAAATTTCAGTGTCCATAAATAGAATTTTACTGGAACACAGCCACACCTACTAGTTACATAATTTCTAAGACCACTTCTGCCTCAGAGAACTGATTAGCTATAGCAGAGACTGGCTAGGCTTAAAATGCTATCGTATCATTTACAGAAAAATGTGTGCCAACATCTGCCTACTTTCTGTGGCCTCTTCTTATCTTTCTTGTCTGGCTTCCTGGTCCTCTGCCGATCATCTACTCTCCTCTGCTCACAATGGCCTTCCAGCCATTCCTTAGTTTCTCCAGGCACATTCCCAACTTAGGGTCTTTGCACTAACTTCCCCCTGGTGAGTAATAATGAACACTTATTGAATACTCCAATACTGAACAATGGATACTCCAACTGGTGAGTAATAATGAACACTTATTGAATACTCATCATGAACTATTATAAGCTCTTCACATGCCCTCACCCATGTCATCTTTAGTACTAGACCATAAACTATATTACTATGAAAAAAGCAAACTCACTGCCATCAAGTCCCCTCCCCTCTAACTAAGAAGGACCCTATTAGACAGGGTAGAACTGCCCCTGTGGGTTCCCAAGACTACAACTTTCTACCAGGGTAGAAACATTCATCTTCTCTTGGGGAGAAGCTGGTGGTTTCGAACTACTGACCTGGAGGTTCGAAGTCTAAGGTGTAACCACAATGCCACTAGGTATCTCTGTTTCTACAAATGAAATCACTGAAGCACAGTGAAGTAATTTGCCTCAGTTTATATGGATTGCAAGTGATGGGGTTAAGGCAGGAACCCAAAAGATCTGACTCTGGAGTCTAAACTCTTAAACATTACTCTCAATAGAAAGTAAATGAAAAATAATGAAACTCACTTGAAGGTGTGACTAGAAATGAATGTGGCTTAAGTCTGCGGAGAAAGTATGAAATAAAAGTGTTTTTTTCCAGGACTTTCTTATGAAAGGCATTTTGGACTGTTCTACTTGGCCATAGAAAAAGCAGTAGGACCGAAAAATGACAGCTGTCCAATGGCTGAGGTGGTCCATACGAAGACCTTTTCAATGGTTCTTTCCCAAATTGAAATATTTATCTCAAAAAGGATTTATTTCCCTCTCAGAAAATATTCATGCAGAACTTGGGTAATAATACCAAAAAAAGATTGTAAAGGGGATTAGAAACCTAACAGATCGTTGGGCAAGACTACTTTTAAGGACTTTTTTTTAAACTCTTGGTTCTTTTATCTACATTTCCACTTCAAGTAGGTAAAGGACTTACAACATAATAATGCTACACCCAGTAATATTGCCAGGATTGCCCATGGGCCAAGTCGCATTCCTCCACTCCTTGAAGCTGCGCGGCATTGAGTTGGATGAACACAATCACATAGATTAATCCTCACGGTTCTTGTTGCAGATTGACCTGCCCTATCTTTTACTACAATCGGAACATCATATTCTTGAAAGTAAGCATCACTCCGATACGAAAGACGGGCAGCTGTACCTGAAAAAAGTAAAGGCAATAGTTTTACTGATCATTGATTCCTCCCTTGGGATTTGCTCTCCACCCTTCTTTAAAGCCTGCAACATTGGAGTGAATGTAAATGAAGAATTGCCTTCATTCTTTTCAAACACTAAAACTGTCTTATATGAATTGTATTCATTATAAGCTGAAAGAATAAAGAGAAAGGGTTTATTTGACTTTGAAGTGACCTAGTAGTATTGGAGCAATATTCCCATAGCCTTACAAACTAATGATGCTAGGCTGGCTCTTAACACTACAAGCCCTTGGCTGCAGTAACTGTTTGTGTTACGCATAAAGACTTAACGCTTAAAGTACACACAAAGGATGTCCTAACTACACATTCCCCTCCATCTCCTTTCTAGGGGCTTCCCATTATCCTTACAGATTATGTCATTTTTCAAGACACAATAGCCCCTTCATGACTAATTCCTTCCCTCTGGAAGCAATTGTAAAACTAACTAATGCCTGCTAAGCTAAGTAATAAGGCTTACACAACAGCAGATATGTCTGTCTCAGTAACAATACCTTTTGTCAACCGCTGTTTTATTTTGTTTTTTTCCCAATAGGCTTGATATCATATTGTATTGGTCTTACCATCAAGGGACCAAAAGTTTCACAGACTCTCAATGACAAAGACATCCATCTGAAATGTTCTCAATGGATTAAGTGAAATGAAAAATAGCATAATGTATATCCCAGAAGTCATCTATAATTTCTAACAAGCCTTGCTCAAATGGACAGGAATAGCTATAATCAATAATAAAAGGTACATAATCACGCCAAAGACTCCAGCTGTACTGGGTCCCTCAGAGTAGAGAGTTCCGCACGGGAATGTGAACCACCACTGAGACCTACGTGGGACCCATCAGGATCAGAAATGTCTAGAATAAGCAGTGTCAGCAGCTGTCACGTCAATTCCAACTCAGCAATGCCGTGTGTCAGAGCAGAATTGTATTTGACAGAGTTGTTAATGGTTGATTTCTCAGAGGTATATTGCCAGACCTTTCTTCCAAAACATTTCTGAGTAAAGTCAAATCACCAATGACCTTTTCGCTGGAGACTGAGCATATTACTCATCATCCTTCAAGCCCTTCTTCTCATTCAAGACCATGAGCTGAGTACAGGACATAGTTATGCCTCATTCATGCATAGATGTGCCACAAACTTACGTCTCCCCTGGCACTCAACTCTCTCCTCTTCTAAGTGCCGATGTTTCTTATTTTAAATGTAAAGTTAGTTATGCTCCTGCCTTACGTGCACATACCCCCAACTACAAAGCTCCCTCTCCTCTAAGATGTAAGGCCCTCTACCATCAGACGCCATCTACCCTTGCCCCACGCCAATTCCCGGCATCCCTAGGAAAACCTTCTAGGCTCTAACAACACTGAATTTTTGCTGTCTGATGGGCTTTCTTTCATGCACATGCATTAATCGCTTACCGATGAAACAAACATTTATCAAGCAATTAGTATCTGCTAAGCACTGAGTTAGGTGCTGGACTCGAAAATGCCAAGATAAATGACAAATGTTCTAAAAAACAAACCTTCATGCATTGGAAAAGAGAGGTAAACAGATGACAGTAATACAATGTCAAAGATTACATAATAAAACTATGGGAAGGTCATTTTGTAGAAATGCTTCACAAATTTGAGCATAAGAGCTGGATTCATCTATGTCTTGTGTGTGCGTGTGTGTTTAACAAGACAAAATTTAAGAATGAAAATTGTTTGGTGCACACGTAATAACTCACAAAGTTAAATAATTTACATAGGACTAGACTTTTTTAAATAAATAGAGCACATGCTGAAGTAAATGTTACAAGGCATGATCATCTGACGAACTCATCTTCTTCTTTCCTAAGCATATTCTTAAGCATGTTTCTCTGCTTCTTCTCATGTCTTTTGGGACAATCTTATGCCTGCCTTCAGTTATTTCATCACCCCAGCTGAGATCTAGTCCAAAAGCTTCATCCTTAACTTCATCACCAAAGATGTGAAGTCTTTTTGCAACTTCTTTAACATTACAGTAGGTAACTTCTTTCATCTGAAGCTTTTAAATTTCTGTCTTGACAGCTCACCTGGTATTGCCCAGAGCACACCCCCAATGAACATATGAACCCCTAATGGTTTAACCATTTTGAGGGGTGCACCATCAACCACCCGGTAAGACCCTAAACGGACAGTGTAGTCAAAATATCTAACAGCTCTGTAGAGTGTAACACAGGGCCAATCTGAGTGCAAGGTCCTATAGTGGAGTGCTACAGCCACAGTTTGATCTAAAGTCGGGCGCTTCTTCGCCTGCTTTGTCTGCTAAACAATGAGCACCTGCCAACAAGCCAGTTGCTGCCACAGACACAAAGAACCTCCTTCCTTTGGAGTCCGTCGGTGGGCAGTGTAAATTGTTCACGAACCTACATGTTAATTGAAAGATGGAAGCTTGAGTCAGTCCAGAGGTGTATAGAAAGAAAGGTCTGGCAAACGAATTTTTAAAAGTCAATCTCTGAAAATCCTATAAAGTATCAGTCGGTTCTAACAGACATGAGTTCCCGATGAGTTGGAGTTGGCTCAATGGCATCTGGTTCTGCACAGCCTCAGAATGCAGCCCGGGCCTAGTCAAGAACTGACGCTCCACAGACATGACGGAGTCACGTCAGGCTACACAATGGGGAGGGCGGTACTCTAGGCAGAAGGGACAGCATACCCAGAAGTTCAGTTGCTTAAAGAGCCTGACATGCTAACATATAAACAGAGAGGTATATGGCATAAATATACAATACTCTAATGCATCGGCCAGCAAACATTGTCAGAGGAGGCTGGCCCTGGAGGCTGCAGCTCTGCGAGTTGGACTGACTGCATTACAATGGATTTGCTTTGGTTCTTTGGTTTGGGTCCCTCTCCCATGTTCCCTTACAAGATATCAGAGTGTGTGTATGACATCCAAATTCCTCATTTTATACCTTCCTACGACACAATTTAAACTGCCCACTTCTGTTTCATATTTGCTTCACTGAAGTTACTTTTAAAAAATACCACACAAACTTTTGCATCAATGATTACTTGTCAATTTTTTACAAAGCTTTTTTTGGTGGTTGCTATAAGTATATATCTTGCCTGCATAAAAAAAATCATGATTTCTCTCTTATATTAAAAACAAATTAATCTGGACTCAGGATGACTCCATTCAAGCCAGAATAGAATTGGACTCCAATGGGTTTACAGTGACTGATATTTTAGAAGTTGGTCGCTGGGCCTTTTATCTAAGGCACCTACCATCTTTCAATTAACAGCTGAATGTTAAATCATTTGCACCACCAGTGGATTTTTTTTTTTTTACATAACCTATGTAATTTAACACCAACCCACAACTAGATTCACTGATGTCAAGGCAATCCTGACTCAGAGCGAGTCTACAGGACAGCGTAGAACTTCTCTGCAGAGTCTCAAAGGCCGTAAGTCTTCAGGGAGGCAAACTGTCCCACCTTTCTCCTATGCAGTAGCTGGTGGGTTTGAACTGCCAAGCTGTAGTGAGAAGCCCTACTTTTGACCCACTTTATATCTGTAAAATATAAAGCTTTAGGTAGCTTTGCAAGTATGCTCATGGCAATCAATTTTACTTCATGCTTTAGGTAAGTAAAAAAAAAAACCACAATATAAATCTGCTCTAGAGTGATTATTAGGCTTTGCAGAATATAGAAATCACTGTTTTGAACTAAATACCGTTAACACGGGTGAGGGTCCATATTTTATTGATTTCTGGAGAAGTATTTGCCAAGGAGAAAGAAAATGGAGGCCCATTGACAGCTTCATCTGAATCAACAGCAGAAATATCAGTATAGGCCGCCTTTTGCTTGCAAATTGTTATATAATTTTGAAGCATCTCTGGCGCATTATCATTCACGTCTTCAATGTTCACTGCAAGTGTCCCAGTACACGATCTACCATCTAGAAGAGAAATGAATAAGACTCACTATACTTTTTAAACGCTTTCATAACTGGTTTCTGAATAAAATATCAGTTCACTTCTACAGAAATATATCATCTCTTCAAAAAAAAAGAAAGAAACTCTGATGATTTCAGTGAGGAAATGGTAAATTAGAAGATAGACGAATGTATCTGAAAACAATAAAAAAATTATTGCTGCTATTGACAAGTCTAGAGAAAATAATGAGTAAATGTCTGAACCCCAACCTCTTTCGTTTTTTCTTGGGCTCTTTCTGGTGTATATGAGGGGGTACACACACACACATGCCAAAAACCGGATTTTTTTCAAAGCTATGTATTTAAATTTTTTTTACAAAACAACCTTATCACCTTCAAAGTACTCTCCATTACAGTTAATATATTTGTCAAATCTGCAATTGCATTCTTGGAAATATTTTTCAAACTCATCTGTTGGGTGGCTGACAGCACCTCCCTTGTTTGTTTGTTTGTTTGTTTGTTTTTTCACCTCTTCTATATCATGAAGTTATCATCCTCTCATGTCCCTCTGCATTCGCAGAAACACAAAGAAGTCTCCTGGAACAAGGGCAGGGAGTAAGGTGCATGGGGCAAGAGAGGCATGCTGTTTCTTGCCAAAAACTGGTGCACTGAGATGGCTGTATGAGCAGGTGCATTGTTCCAGGAGCAAAAGCTGTCCCTCATTTGCCACAAATCAAGCCTTGTTTGTCGCACACCATTATGCTAACTTTTCAGAACTTCTAGATAGAAAGCTTTATTAACAGTCTGTCCTGGTGGAAGGAACTCCAAATGCACTACATATTGGCATTAGTTGATGGACGCCAAGAAGGAGGTTTGTCATCAATCAACATTTCATCTTTTTTGAAATGAGAAAACCACTTGTACACTTGAGTTTTACCAATAGCACTGTCCTTGTAAGCTGCCCTCAATCTTACAACAGTTTCTGCGGCATTCTTCCCTGAGCAGGAAACAAACTTTCAGAGCCACACGCTGTTCTCTTAAATCAGCCATCACAAAAAATGATGTTCAAGCAAAAACTGCCTTTATGAAAAAAAATTCCCTGTGACCAGAGAGAACCTTCCCAGGCAACGCCGCTATATGCACTAACTCAGAGTGAGTTTCTGGATGTTTCCTGCTCAGTTAGCAGGAAAAAATGCATACTACAAAAGCTCCACTCCACCCAGCTTGGGGGGGGCGTAACCCTCTAAGGAACACTAAAGTGCTCTTTAGAAATGTGACTCCACATTTAGGGTCCACATTCAAATCCCCTGCTGTCATTGCCATGTGCTGTGCAGTTGGTTCCAACTCCTAGCAAAACACAGCTTGCTCCAGTGACATCACCATAATCATTGTTATATGTGAGCCCATTGTTGTAGCCATTGTGTCAGTCCCTCTCCTTTAGGATTTTCCTCTTTTGTTCTGGTTGTCTGCTTTACAGAGTCTGATGTCATCTCTAGGGACTGGTCTTTCCTGATAACATATCTAAAGTAAGTGACACAATATCTTGCCATCCTCACTACTAAACAACCTTCTGGCTGTACTTTTTCCAAGACAAAACTGTTCATTCTTCTAGAAGTCCATGGTAAATTCAATAGTCTTTGTCAACGCCATCATTAAAAGGCACCAATTCTTCTTCTACCTTCCTTAGCCATTGTCCAATATCCCCACGAGTATGAGGAAATTGAAAATACTGTGGCTGGGATCAGGCCCACCTTACACCTCAAAGTGACATTTTTGTTTTTGAACTCTTTGAAGAGGTCTTTTACAATAGACCTACCCAATGCAGATTTCTGTACTGTTGCTTCCAAGTGAACGGATTATGGATTAAAATAAAATCCTTAACAGCATAAGGTTTTCTTTATCATGATGTTACTTAATAGACCAATTGTGAGGCTTTTTATTTTCTTTACTTTAATGTGTAATCCATACCGAAGAGTGTGCTCTTTGATCTTCAACTGTAAACACTTCAAATTCTCTTCACTTTCAGTAAGCAATATCTCAACTGCATATTACAGGTTGTCAATAGGTCTTCCTCAAATGCTGATGCTGAGATCTTTTTCAAAGGTATTGTGAGAATGGATAAACCAATACGTTTTAATTCCGAGTAGACTATTGGTTTTAGGGGATTGAGGGACCTGGGCCTTTCTTTTATCACCATTTAAAAACTAAATGGGAAAGAAAAAGAAAAAAACTAAATGGGAATTGGCTAGAGAATACTAAAGGACTCTATTGTCTTTGGTATTCTCTCTTCCAGATTGTAATGTGGATTTTGAAAACACTTAAAATGAAAGAGAAACACTACATAATTCTTCAAATTAAATATTTGCTTCTATTAATCTAAAAATTGGCAAAATACCTGATCTCACTATTCAAACAGGGTAAAGAATTCAAATACTGATAATCTTAGACAAGAAACTATAAACTTTAAAAACTACACAAATTCACAATATTTAATAAATGTAAAAATGAAGATCGTCTTTAGAAGGAAAAACAGCTTTGTTACATATGGAGTCAAATGTTTAAGAAGAAAAGAAATTATGAGAAGTCCACTCACAGATGTGTTTTGCAACGAAAGGATTTAAAAGGTAAAGAGGGTTTCTTATCTTGTTACTTTCATTACAGGCATTTTCTTGAACAGCTATCATGAAAATAGTTCTGGAAACAATCTTAGCCCTTCTGTTTCTAGTTTTGTTTTCTTGAGATGAGCATAATAGTTTGCAAGGTTATGGTGAAATTCTATGGACATACAATGTGTAAAGATATATGATAATAAAATACAAGCACAGGATATTATTACTGACACACATCACATTTCACAAAGACTTGGAATTAAAATATGGTCGTTTCTCATTATGAAAAAAAAATTGGCAGTTATAGAGGAAAGAATAACTTACGATGTTCTTCCCTCACCACACTAAGAATTACTAATTATCAAAACCTTATTTTGATATTCCTAAAAAATATCAATTTTATCTTATGATGCATTTTGAATAAATCACCATGATGGCAATTTTCAGTTTATTCTCCAATCCCTTTATAAAATAACAGATTAAAATGTTGTTACCTCGGTCTATTGCCATGACTGTAATGTTGTATACCTCATTTTTGGGACTCATAGCCTCCCTGTCCAGGATTTTGGAAGTCAAAATTGACCCTGACCTTTCATCAATATTGATCCACCCTTTAGGATCATGCAATTTTTTATATCTGTTAATCAAAAAGAAAAGAAAATGTATTAATTGTTCTAATAGTCTCAATTACTACACATTCATAAGCATGTTGGCTATAGATTTATTTGTACCTCAAGCCACTGCCACTCTTGGTTTCTGGGTCATATGCCTGGTAGCCATTGATCTTCAACCCGACCTCCGAGTTCTCTCTAATCCGCACAGACTGGGCGGGCGGGTGGCACTCAGGCCCCTCATCCTGATCCTGCACGCGAACCGTCACCACAGCTCTGCTCACGGCGGATCTGCTTGCAATCTCTCTAGTAAGTGGAGCTTCATTGCTTACTCCAATTTCCAGGATCAATTTCTGGGTTTCTTCATAATTCAGTGGCTTTAAAGTAAAATACATGTACATCAGCATCAGGGAAAAATCCATTGGGATCTCATATTAGCAAATGAACTTTTGTCAATAAGAACAGGGCAGCATAAATTCTGTGTTCTGTGGGGTTGGGTAGCCCTTGCCACTGACTTGGTTTCCTCTTGAGTGACCCTACAGGACAGGATAGAACTGTTCTACGGGGTAGAATTGTCCTCTAGGGCTTTCAAGGCTGTCCTATGTGTGGAAGCTGACCCACACCTTTCTTCTGAATCACAGCTGGTGGATGCTATTTAGTTAGCAGGGCGTGGAAGCCCTGGGTCACCTGACCCCCATCCAGTGTGTTGATACGGACTTTCCTACCTAAGGAGAAAGGTGAGTGTGTGCTAACCCTTTAGGAATTTCGGTTCAGCAATTCCCAACATGCTTTTATAGAGTTGCGGAAGAGGAACTTCTGCTAGATTTTTATAGTTGACCCTTGCTAAGGTAAAATTGTATCAAATAATAAAAAGCTCACAAATCCATGGAATTCCCAATATCTCTAAAGCAAGACAAAATTATTATGATAAGTCATAACAATAATAATAACAATAAAGTTTCTCTAAACAAGTTATGAGTAACATTCATAATCACTGGCCTGGCAAGGCGGCTGTGAGCTGCTGTTAGAAGCCTTGGCAGTGAAGGTGGGTTATGCATTGAATTACTCACTCCAAGGTCAGCAGTTGAAGCCCACCAGCTGGGGAGAAAATGAGGCTACTTGCTGCCATGAGGATTTACATCCTTGGAAACAACATTCATTAAAATAATAGTTAACTAAAACTTACTACGTTTCCAAGTATTCATTCCTACCATACCTTTATTACAGAGAGTACACCTTCATTGGTTGCTTTGTCTGTACTGATTTTGAAATGTCCTTTTTCATTGCCTTTTAAAATGGTAAAATTGGCTCTCCAATTCTCAGTATTAATTAAATCCTTATCTTCTATAGGTAATCGTAAAATTTCCACATTGAATGTATTTTCCTCTACTGAGGCCTCATACTGAAAGAAAAGGAATTCATTAAAAGCTTACTTAATAAACAGAACTTTTGCAAAGAATGCAAAATGTTGTTTTCCAATCCAAACATACTTTTTTTCATAGATATTTTTATGGATAATTAAAAAACTGTATCACAAAGAGTACTGTTTCACAAGTACTAATTTTTTAAAGAAAAGAATTTTCATTATAAACGATGACACTACTGTCTCTGACCTTTACTGAGAAGGAGAGAAAAATCTAATATGAATGAAAGAGTTTCCCATGTCATCTATTAGAATTTTAGCTATATTTATTCCATAAACATGCAGTTCACAGTGTGGTAAATATTTTATTCAGCTAGATTAAATAGCACATGACAATAAATGAAGTAGAGTTGGGTCATCTCTACTCACAGCATTTTGTCTGAAAGTAGGTGCATTGTCATTTGCATCTTTGACTGTTATCAGACAAGTTGATGTATTCATCAGTCCAAAATTCTGACCATCCATGTCTTGTACTTTCATTATCAATGTGTACTTGTCTACCACCTGGAAGCAAAGAAAATATTTCATTATCATCAAAACTTTTGTTTGGATTTAAAAATGAATCCTTTTTTTAAAAAAAGAACCATACAAAGAATATAAGCTGACTGCTGTTAGTGACAACAATAAAGGTTTTATGGGAGTCAAAGGAGAACATTTGAGATTTAGAAAACATATTAAAGAAAAGGTGAGCATCATTGGTAGTGAGATGAATTGGAGTCGAGGAAACCTGTTGTGGGGGGCTCCGTACTAGAGGGCAATCGTCTTAATTTACTTATCTTTAATACCAGTGTAAGTGTATAGCTAAGGCTACAGCAATAAAGAAGAGCAAACGCTTGATGGAGAAGTTACTTCAAATTTTGAAGGAAACAGCCCGTTCTCTGTCATTGAGTCGATACTGACTCACCATGACCCAGTACGACATGGTAGACCTGACCCTGTGTATTACCGGGGCTATGCATTTTTAAGGGGGTAGGCAACCTCATCTTTCTACCATGGGGCACCTGATGAGTTCGAACTGCTGGCCTTGTGGCTAGCAGCCCAACATGTAACCCACTCCACCAACGGGGGTCCTTTAGAATGAAATGGGACTTAGTAGTTCAATACACATGTTAAGAGACTGTTGGGGGGTTGACGAGGGTGTTCTAGAATCCTACTTAGCTAGGTGACCAAATAGAGGTAGGTAATCCAGGGGACGCGGGTTCTCAGAAGAGGGAAGACAATAGTTTGGGTTTTTTTTCCTTTACAAATGTTGAATTGTTATGTGGCTGTGGGAAATCTAAGGGAAGAGATTCAGAAGCACATGCAGCACTATATATAAGGAGGAAATTTACATCTATATTGAAAAGTGGTGATTCAAATTAATCAAGTCAGATTATCCAGAGTGAGTTACAGGATGCGAAGAATGTAAGATAAAGAACAACAGCATTTCAGACACGGCAGAAGTAAAGTTAAGCTAGGAACACTAACAGAGGAACATCAGAGAGGCAGAAGAACAGAAATTCACGGGAAGCAAGAAGTTTTGTATCAGTGCCAATAGCAGACAGGGGCCTAAAAGCAGCCGCTGAGTGGAGCACTGGGAGGTCACTAAGGATCCTGCGAGCAGAGTTTGTATGCTGTGCCGATGGTGAGATGGAGTCAGTAGACTTTCCCATCTAGCTGTTTTTGATATTAGCTGCTACTTTCATTCACCCCTTCTTATTTTGCCAACACTATCAAAACCTATTATTTTTCTTCCCCTCACTTCACTGCTTACCTCCCTTGTACATTTCTTTACTTATTGTGTTAGATCCCAGAGGGCATTCAGTACTACTTAGTTCTCCACAAAATGCCTATAGATTTTTGTTTCCCCCCACTAGGCAGGCGGACCTCCGTTTGACTGCACATCTGTGTTTTATAAGCTGTTTAACCTCATTCAGCTTATTCCAAGTTTCTCTCTCAAATTTAGGACCCTTTGAACAATGAAAGCAATGCCTTGCTGCTATTTAAATGCCATATCATCTTTGCAAAATCCACAGATGTAAAACCACATTCGTGTGCTTCCATTTGAACTTATTTATTCTGCCACTATGTGTTTAATCACATGGAACATCCACAATCATGAAAACGCCTGCACTTCTTTTTGATTTCCTTATATAGGATCCAACCACCTCTCTCTTACGCTATGGAACCAAATCCCATTGATTTTTCTTCAAGTAATTCCCCCAGACATATCGACCCCTCTATTTGTGTTATTCTAGCTGCAGGGGGAATCACTGAAGTGTTTGGAACTAAAAAAAGCTCCTTTGTGCTTATGAAGTTGATTCATCTACCTCAGGCAATAATACTTGACAGAGCTAAATACAGGCTGACAAAATGCAGAGAAAAGTAAGAGAAGATTCAGTCTATTTTACGGTCACATTTATCCTCTATAGATTGAAGTTAACATCTATCTAGTCAAACAAAGGAATTATGAATACTAAATATAACTATGCATAAACTATTTGAACATAAAGTGACATGCATACACATGACAATATATTGTTACTAACACCACACAGAAACACTACAGGTTTTTAATCATTCATAAACTTTATATTTCCTATCAATTCATTCCTAATAAAACACTCAAATGCCTATAAATACTGTATAGGGATCAGAGTAGGACACTCTTGGAGCAAGTAAAACTAATTGGCCCACATGAGAATTAAAGCTATACTTAACTGGAATCAAGTAGCCACCAATAAAAAATGAAATAATATTTTGTAATAATCTTCATTTGAAAAAAAATCGTATTCGCTTCCATACTCCTTTTAAACACCAACTGGTCTATATTTCGATTCCTTGACAGATCTACTTATATTGACTAATATACAGAAAAATTATACAAAAATGGGTAAAATTCCCAGGATTCTTCATTGTCATTGCCCAAACAAAATCAGACATACTTAATCTGCACGACAGCAAATTACATTGGTAGGGGGTCTCGTATGACCTCCAGTAAACTGATGTTTTAGGCAGTATGAAAGGTACCTCTCTGTCCAGAGAGTGGGAAGCTAAGGTGATGACACCTTTCTTGGGGTGCACAGAGAAGAGCCCAGGTGATCTCGGCGTCTGCTCCAAAATGCTGTATTTCAGGAGTGTGTGCAGCGTCTCTGGCTCATCCCTATCCGTGGCGGAAACCACTCCCACTGTTGAACCTGCATAGGAGGAAAAGAGCCATCATTTTCGAGAATTTCAAAATGGGTTCATACGTTTTCACTGCACTTAAGTGTTTTCAATTTAAGAATAATGTTGACCATCTGATTTACAATGCATTTCCACTCAAAGAGGTTCCATATTGAAATCGTTCTGATGAAAAGTACTTCACATTGAGGCTACCAAATACTTCAATGTTGGGAAGCAAGATACTCATTTACTTTGATTTTGCTCAGTTTTCAATTTTAAGTGGTTTTTTTCAAAGATTATAATAATAACCTACCTAGAGGGGCAAGCATGTCTCTTTTTAAGTAATTGTGAGCTTTTAAGATTAAGACTATTTAAAAGTGACTAAATAGTAGCTACATCATTGGTGTCTAATTGAACATGGATGATCACACCTATGTTCAGTCTCACCAGTCTCTCTATCTTCTCGCTTTCTCTCGACATGTTAATTCAAAGCAGTATGGCCTCACTGACTACACCTTATTTATTAATGTAGAAATCAAAGTAATTTTCCTGTGAGACTTCGCTGTTACAGCTGAATGGATTCTTTAACAAAGATTTTAAAACTAACCATTTCTCTTTGAAAAGAGAAAAATATAACAGAACTGGAAAATTGTGAGGCTGAAAATATTATAAGTGACTGACTGTAATTAACTCATTTTATAGCTAAGGGAACTCAAAGAGACTTTCAAAATTAATAACAGACCCAGGATCAAAAGCAGGTTTCCTAAACTCCAACCAAAGAGTTTTCATTTGTTTAATTGGACTATTTGAATAATAAAGAAGTTAACACCCTTGAAATCAAATATTCAAAGGGAAATATAAAAGTAAAATAGTAGTTGTAGTAATATAGTGAAGATCTATGTAACTACGAGAAACTTAATTAGGCAAGTTAGCAAATTCAATCCCTATGATCGAGTCTACAGTTCTTTCAACTAAACTGTGAGTGAGAATTCTCCTTATTACAAGTCTCAGCTAACGTCATGAAGGCCATATTTAAGGACCTACTAGGTTGAAGCATTTTCATTATTTTAAATGTGAAAGTAAAGGTTTGGGACGGAATACATGTAAATTAAATTTATTGAAGTTTATTGGCCATGCTCATTCTAAATATAAGAAGTAATGAATTATAGGAACCCTAGTGGCAGAGTGGGTTACAAGTTGGGCTGCTAACTCCGAGGTCACGAGTTCAAAACCACCATGAGCTCTGTGGGAGAAAGATAAGACTTTCTAGTCCTGTAAACAGCTACAGTCTCAGAAACCCCCAAGGGCAGTTCTTGCCTCTCCAGAGCGTCATTAAGAGTAGGATTTCTCTTGATGGCAGTGAGGTTGGTCTTACTCAAATTAAAAGAAATATGAAACATTTTAAAATGAAAAATTGTATAAACAAAAGCTAAAATATAAATTTTTTAGCTTCAAAAAATGTCCTTGAAGCCTCTCCCAATTATGGAAATAAGAATATCCACACTGACCCTAGTTTTGTTATTTATTCTACCCTGCATGTCCTCTTTTGAAGGTGACAAGAAAGATAAGCTCACATCATAAACCAAATGTAGAAATAAGCTTGAGTAACTGTTAGCTGCCTTATCATCATACTTCATTGATATTATATTAACAAAATCTCAGATTCCTGTAATAGCTGATAAATTACAAGCTGATTGGATTTGATGAGATTAAACAAATTCTTTTGAATAGATCCAAATGGCTATGTTAATGAAAAAAACCACAAAGTCTCAAAAAATATATATGAATATTTAATATGACACATTTTATTCCTAAAGGCAGTCTTACCAAGTCTACTACTTTCCAGAATTTCAAAGCTGTATGTGCTTTCTGTGAACAAGGGGTGATTGTCATTTTCATCCTCCACGCGGATGGGCAGTGGTAGAGATGCATCTGCAGAATACCCATCTACCGTCGATGCCGAGGCAACCAACTGCAGGGAGTAAAAGGCACGTCACCTGGGTCATTAGGGTCAGCGCCCAGCAAGAGGAGACAAGATGCTCTAGCACTCCTCAGTAGGTAAGCCTTTCCAGTTGCAAATCATTTTCAAAGATGCTTCTTCAATATGCATTTCCTTATTGAATTAAAATTCAGCATTGACTGGGGCATTCAGAATGTTAGCGTGACAGCTACACTACAAATAAAATCTCAGTCCTGTACAAGGGAGTAAGTAACGTGGGCCTGTCCACCAGACCGAGGAACTCAAAGGGAATATGGAGATCGGTCAAAAAGTCCTTATTCTGCCAATAATCAGAGATAGATTAGGGAAGCCAAACTCACTGCAGTGGACAAAATCCCTGGTAGCACATCTAAATAAAGCATCGATTCCCGATCCTACTCAATATTGTGATTACCACCTGGAGTTGAAAAATCCCTACCTTACAATCAAAGAAATATCATGTGGGGAGCATCTGTCATATTTGCTTCCCTACAACTTTCTCTTCTAGGAAGAGAATCCTTCTTTCCTCTGGAGAATTACTCTGCTTCGAGTACAGTGCTGTCCTCATGATCTCATGCGAGGCACCGTCAAGTCAGCCACCAACCCAACCATCGCCTTCACTTTCAGCTCACAGAAACTCTACCCCACACACCCCCACCCC